AAGGAGCAGTCGCAGAAATACTAAGGAGAAACAAAATCAAAAAGGCTACACATTAAGAAGTTTGAAAGTGAAGACATATATAATTCAGGTAGAGATCTTGCTTTCAGCGGGACAAACTCTGGAAGAATCAAAATTGGGCAAATGGGTAAGAGGTGTGGGTGGTGGAGGAGACAAGAAATTAGTTAGAGGATTGTCTGTGAGCAAGATCATGGGGATAAAGGCCACAGGTTACACGTTGCTACAGTGCATCCTATGCATGGGTTGTCACAATAGGAGTAAAATATAGACTAGCAATGCAAAACTTCCAGCATCATATTTTAATTCCCAAGACTTTCGTGAACTTAAAGTGGCTTTAAAGCTTGCCATGGTTGACATCAAACCACAGATATCAGCAAATTCAGGAAACCAAATGTGGAATAAACAAAATCATCTGAACTGAAATTAATATTTTATCTGAAGATATGGAAACCAGTCAATCTAGTAAGGGCCAAGAAATGTGCATCGCCTGTTCTAATTTACAATTGAAAGAGAACTGGCACATATTGGAAATATAAAGGAAAGAGAGTGGAGCAAGACTCAGCAATAACACAAATGAACCATACTTCAGTAACTATTTTCCAGAAGAGAGAGGGAGAGGGAGGGGGAGGGAAAAAACATGGGTTAGCAACAGTAAGGACTGAAAAACCTAGTTTTCTCTCTTTCTCTCCCTCGCTCTCATTTCCTCCTGGGCCTATCAGAAGCCAGCACCAGTACTAAGAAGAAATAATCATTCACCGAGAGCTCAAGGATTCTCCAAATTTTACTACTGCTGAGGATATGAGACGTCAACTAAACAGTCATGGACTCAAATTCAACTCTCACAGCTCAAGAACTCCCAGAACCTTCAAACTACATTTTCTTTCTTCTTCCATGGTATTACAGACACCCTCTGCCTTTTCAAGTGTGACATCGCTGTGTGCGATAGAGAGTTTAAATATTTGATGTGACTGACTGAGGGGATTAAAAAGAGGGGAGCTGATGCACCCCTCTCCACCTGGTCCTAAATATGGTACAAACTGCTGTCACTATAGTTAGAAAGAATAATCATTTATACAGTGGTGGATTGAATGCTAGTCAAATGGTCACATTGTCTTGGTTAGCGTTAAATGCTGAGGCTGCACTCACCTAGGCAAGTGGGGATATTCCAGGGATATTCCATTGCACCTCTAATTGCTTAGAAGGTGGTAGACAGGCTTAGCTGAGACAGGAAGGGAGTCCAACAGAATTTCCATTGATTTTGATTTTACCAGGACACTGCCAAATGTTGCCTTGGTGACAAAGACAGACAGTCACTCTCACCTCACCTCTGAAATTTGGTATTGCGTCCTTGTTTGGAGCAAGACTAACGGGATTGAAGATCATAATGAGGTCCGGAGACAAGTGGTGCTCACAGAGCCCAAATTAAGGTTATATGATGGGGAAGATTTAGGGAGGACAGAATGCCAGTCAAATCAGTGAGAACAAGACGACTTGACATAGATATTGAAAATACCAATTACACTCACTGCAAAAATTGAAGGAGAAAAGACAGAATATCTCCAGGAGAAATTCTAGAAGAGGCTGGAGAAGGGTAGAGAGCAAGGGTGTCAAAAGGAGGTGACTAGGCTGAAATAAACTGAAGTGAAAACAGAAGAAAGTACCAGAGAGACACAATGGAATTGATTCTCAATTTGCTACCCTGCCATTGAGTTGATGTTACCGAGAGCTGTTGGTTAAAGACAGCCCAATGTTACTTTTCATTGATATGAATAAAATTTGGATGATTTCTATCACCCCTAATTGACCCTCACTCCCAGGGTTAGGCCTGGACAAGTCAGTTCTTACACTGAAAATATTATTTATTTGTCTATGGTGAGACAAGCAAATGAAGATAAAAAGAACTTGCAAACAAATTAAAAATAAAAATAGAAGATGATAGAGAATACCTTTGTCTGCCCCAGTATCCTGTTGTATTCATGATGTTCACACATCACCAATCACAAGCATTAGGATCAGACCAGGTGCTTGCTCAGAAAGAGGCAAAGTTACGACAATTGCCCTTATGTATTCCAGTTATGCACTAGCCACTTAAAATAAAAAATGATGCAGATAGAATCCCAAGATAAGGTAACTTAATGGATCTTTCAACAGAAAATATTAGGGCGGCACGGTGGCTCAGTGGTTAGCACTTGCTGCCTCACAGCACCAGGGACCCGGGTTCAATTCCACCCTCAAGCAACTGCCTGTGTGGAGTTTGCACATTCTCCCCGTATCTGCGTGGGTTTCCTCCCGGTGCTCCGGTTTCCTCCCACAGTCCAAAGATGTGCAGGCTAGGTGGATTGGCCGCGCTAAATTGCCCATAGTGTTCAGGGATGTGTGGTATGGGGGACGGGTTCTGGGTTGGGTGCTCTGAGGGTCGGTGTGGACTTGTTGGGCCGAAGGGCCTGTTTCCACACTGTAGGGATTCTATGATCTATGATCTTCTATGATCTATTTGCTTCTGACTAAAGCAGAAATAAGTAAACAAACAGTCTGCCAAAAATTACCTGTACAAAAACTGTGCACAGCACACTCTTAAATGATCTACACTGTCAGCCCACATAGATACATGCCATCTGCTCATTCAGAAAAATATTCTACAGTCAAGAGGGTATAGTCTTTTCAATCTCTAAAGAACACTCCAAGACATTAAAAATAAATTTAAGCAATTAAAAAAATCCTAATATAATTTAAGATTGGCACCAGATGTGAATCATAACCGGTGATGTCAAATGTTAACACCATAGCAGTAACTTTAACGTTATGCTATATTCAACACCACCTTCCGGTTGCCAACCATTTTAACTCCTCCTTCCACTCCCTTGGTGACATGTCCGTCCTGGGCCTCCTCCAGTGTCATAATGAGGCCACACGCAAACTGGAGGAACACCACCTCATATTCCGCCTCAGGAGCTTACAGCGTAAGGGCCTCAACATAGAATTCACCAGATTCAAAATCTCCGCACGCCTGGCCTCATTCAATTTCCAACCCTCCCTCTCATCCCCACCTCCTTGACCCAACACAACCCATTCATCTTCTCTCCCACCTATCCGCCCCTCCCTTCCCACTGACCAATCCCCACGACTCCCTACTGCATCCATCTATCATGATCCCACCTACCTTCCCCCAGCCTCACACCTCTATTCATTTCCCAGCTCCCATTTCTGAATAAGGGTGTAATCCCAAAATGTCAACTTTCCTCCTCCTCTGATGCTGCCTAACCTGCTGTGTTCCACCAGCTCCGCACTGTATTGACAATGTTAGGATTATATCGGCATAAGTGGTGGTGGCATCCTGCTGGAGGTGGCAGAAATGCTGGGCAGTGATCTTCTGATGTGGATGCTGCCACTTCCAGCAGGATGCCATCACCAGACACACATTACAGAAAGCCAACAGGGGAGGGGAGGGCAAAGGAAAGACCGTTCCCTCAGAACATGGTGGGTAGGGGATGGGGGTTGCAAAACTACAGGACACCTTTCCCTGCAAACGCAGAAGGAGTACCACCTGCCCATCCACCGCATCCAAGGACCCAAAACGCACCTTCCAGGTGCAGCAGTGTTTTACCTGCCGTTCAATCAATCTAGCCTACTGCATTCGCTGCTCACGTTGTGGTCTCCTCTACACTGGGGAGAAGGAACGCAGATTGGGTGACCACTTCACAGAACACCTACATTCAATCCGCAAAAAAGACCCTGAGCTTCCTGTTGCCTGCCAATTCAACAGACCTTGTTCCCTGGCCGACATGTGTCTCAGGTTTGCCGTAGTGCTCCAGCGAAGCTCAGCAGAATCTGGAAGAACAGCACCTCAAATTCCACTTAAGAACTCTACAGTTCTCTGGACTCAATATGGAGTTCAACCTCTCCCATGTCCTTACTCCAACCCCAAACACCTTATCACATGATCTGCTATACACACACTCCATTGTAAGCCACCAATACTTCCCATTAGTAGCTAATCGTTCTCCTAGACTGACCACTATCCACTCCTTTGTCCAACTGTTCTCTCTTTAGAGACAACAAGGTGCAGAGCTGGATGAACACAGCAGGCCAAGCAGCATCATAGGAGCAGAGAGGCTGACGTTTCGGGCCTAGACCCTTCATCAAAATCTCCCTGCCCCTGACCGCATCCCAAAACCAGCCCAGCTCGTCCACGCCTCCCTGACCTGTCCGTTCTTTCTCCCACCTTTTCTGATGAAGGGTCTAGGCCCGAAACGTCAGCCTCTCTGCTCCTATAATGCTGCTTGGCCTGCTGTGTTCATCCAGCCCTGCACCTTGTTGTCTCGGATTCTCCAGCATCTGCAGTTCCTACTATCTCTGTTCTCTCTTTAGGTTCTATCTCCACTATTATTTACTCCTTACCCCCTACTCCCCACCCTATGTTCTGCATAAAAAAACTTTCCTCACTATCAGCAGTTCTGAAGGATGGTCATTGGACCTGAAATGTTAACTCTGATTTCTCACCACAGATGCTGCGAGACCTGCTGAGCTTTTTCAGCAATTTCTGTTTTTGCTTCCGATTTCCAGCATCCGCAGTTCTTTCAGTTCTTATCTACTGGTGCTCCACTTGTTAAAATATCACTCAGTGTAACAGATGGCCCTATCATTGATGTAAGAACTTAACCGCGGTGTCGCTTGCAGGGACATCACAGGCATTGCAACTGCATGGATGGGGAGTGTTCTTTTTCCAGTTGCAGTGGTAGAAAACACAGCATTCTTAATTCTCTCCACAAAGTCTCGGTTGCCTGCTTAGCTGTCATTCCCTCTCTATTACTGAAATGATTACATGTTTAATGATCTGTCGACTCAAATCATTTTCTCTGCCAAATTTATAGCCAGGTATATTTAGCTCACAGCTGACCATTTTGTAGTCACAAGTTGAATTGTTCCAATGGCTTTAGAGTCCTGGCATTGGAAATAAGGGAGGTTCCCAAAGCCACACTTACCCACAGGGAGAACAGCTTAACAACCTGCCAGGAAGCAACCCAATTTTTCTTATTATACATCATTCATTGGTAGAGGGTGGGTGCTTCTAGCAGGATCAGCATCCATTATCCATGTCTGATTGCCTTCAAGGTGGCAATGGTAAACCAGCTTCTTGAACAATACAGTCCAACGGGTGTAGGTCCACTCACAATCCTCTATTGGAATGGATTTCCAAAATTTTACACAGCATCTGTGAAGGAATGGCAATATGCTTACAAGTCAGGATGGTGTATTGCTTTAAGTGGAATTTGCAGGTGACTAGCAAGAGATATGGTTCAATATTTTCTCGCATGTTGAGAGAGAGATAGAAATGACCAAAGTACAATACCATTGGGCTGCAATGTGGACATCACAAGCTTCAAAATCTCCCCACCCCCGACCGCATCCCAAAACCAGCCCAGCTCGTCCACACCTCCCTGACCTGTCCGTTCTTTCTCCCACTTATCCCCTCCTCCCACCTCAACCCCCACCCCCAATCAGCCTCATCCTCGCCTCCTTGACCTGTCCGTCTTCCCTTGACTGACCTACACTATCCTAAATCCCCACCTACACTCCCCTTTACTGGCTCCATCCCCGTCTCCTTGACCTGTCTGTCTCTTTTCCACCTATCTGCTCCTCTATCCATCTTCCATCCACCTCCCCCTCTCTCCCTATTTATTTCAGAATCCCCTGCCCCTCCCCCATTTCTGAAGAAGGGTCCAGACCCGAAACATAAGCTTTCCTGCTCCTCTGATGCTGCTTGGCCTGCTGTGTTCATCCAGCTCTACACCTTGTTATCTCATATTCAATAAGATTTAGACCTTTTAGGTAATTCATTTAGTACATGGCAATTAAAATTCAAAGTACTAAGATTAGACATACGAGTAACACCGTGTATAGATTTCAACCAGGTGAACAATCAACACTGGAACAATTCCTAAAGGGAGTATTGATGTAGTGTCATGCTTCTACCATCCACTCACAGCTGGAAGGTCTACACAGCCAGATTTGCGAAGGCCAAAACCTTGGAATATCATTGGCAGAAGGCAATTGCACTAACGTGTAAAAATAAAAGCAGCTTCTGTTCAGACTGTAGCAATCTTGAAGTACATTGATCCAGAAAGTGATTTGGAAGTTATGGTTGAAACCAGCATAGGTCTGAGACTATAAAAAGGGGAAACAAGATGAATGATGTTTTTCACCCCAAGACAAACAGGATATCGCATTTTCTACAGGTTTTTTTTTAGAAAGAGCAACAAAAACAACCTCAAATCTCCACCAGTTACAAATTTGGTGTCTCTTCCAGCAAGCTCATTAGCATACGGCTCAGTTTGATCCTTTCACAGATCACGGCTAAGCGTTATAATAGGTAGTCCTCAATTAGTACACTTTCACCGTAATGCAGTTTTTATTTTGCTACCTGATTCCAATAACGTGAACCTAACTTGCAATAATGGAAGTTCTTACCTGACTGCCACAACATAGAGAAATAAATTTTCACTGTACCTCAGTACATGCGACAACAATAAATCAAACACAGATTCTAAAACTGAGGATTCTTGGACAAGTTCCTGTTCATTCAACTAGCTTTGGCTGTTGCCTGCCTCAACTAAGGCTGGATAAGGTTTTAAAACTGCTCCAAAAGACACTCAACCTTTCATTTTACACATTTTCATGTTTTTTTTTAAACATTAACATTGTGCTTGTATTCTGTACTTGTCTGATGCTCTCACAATGTAACCTAAACATTTACAGAGGTTTCTATTTGAATTTGTTTTTTGAATAATGCAGCTTCAGTTAACGCAATGCTCTTCAGAAATGTAACTACCACATTAAGGACTACCCGTAAGTAAAAGCATACCTTGCCCACCACTACATAAACAGGGCCATTATCTCCCCGCCAAACCTCACTGCCTGGCAGTGATCATATTAGGAACAGAACAATTGTGGAATTAACCCCTACTATTCACCCCTACGATTGATAATATATTTGCAATAATTTCCAACAAAAAAAGAAACAAACAAAACAAATAAAACCAACCGTCTCTTACATTAATGCATAGTTGTTTTTGTTAAAATTAAATTTTAAATTATCCAGCAATGCAAGTTAAGTAATTTCAATATAACACTGTTTTTGCACAATTTAAATCAACAATACCAATCCTTTCAAAGTTGACAGGATGACAAAAACAACATATTTACAGCTAACTGCATTCACAACAGCATGTTGTTTCATAAATGAATATAAAAATAGTTGTTTTAATGTGCACAATATTAGCTTATGGGCAAAACCATCCAAACTTATCATAATCCCAGGAGACAAACAGAAAACGGAAGCTTGAGTTAGAAAATACATGGCTAGGAAATACTTAATTATTCATATTTGTTCAATAACTGTTTTTAGAATTTTGTGAAAAGACTTTGATTACTGAGTAAAGCTGCATTTTAATCTTTTTTTTAAAAAAAAGAAGAGTTTGGTTGTTAAATACTACCACAGCAAACAATTAAAGACCAAAACAATGATCATTCAAAGCTCTGGTTAGAACAGAAAAAGCAGAGTCGGTCTTGGAACAAAATCTTGAGGGTTGATTGATCTTGGAGGATTCCATGCATTGACTTACTTTGATTTTTTTTTTCGTTTGCAGGATGTGGGACCTTCCGGACTGGCCAGTATTTATTGCACGTCTGTAGTAGCCCTTAAGAAGGTGATGGTGAGCTGCCTTCTTGAACCGTTGCAGTCCACGTACTGTGGATTCTCTCCTCAACATATGCAACCTTAAACTAGATACAGCTGCTTATTCACAAGTAATTCATTATCTCAGTGATTCTGAGTTTCCCCAGTTAGCTAATTATCCCTTTGACTGATCTGAAACTAGTCACTCTTCTTTGCAGTCTCTTCCTCCTTTGGAAACCACATCTCTGCTCCCACCCATCCCTTGTGGCCTCCCAGCCTCGATGTCTCTTCCTGCACCCCCCACACACTACCATTCCCCTGCCAGCTCCCTCACTGCCAGCAATAACAAATGCCCACCACTCCTCCAGTCACAGGCTCGCCTTCACCATTTCGTTCCATGCTACTTACAAGAATGACTTTTCCTGTTGAGACACCCCATGAGTGGATTTTCTGGGGTGATGTGAGGACTTTAAGCCCATGCATTTTGACCATTGGCAGAGAAATCAAATCTAGAACTTGGGGCATAATTTACAGTTGGGGAGCACAGTCTAATTATTAGAGGCAAGCTTGTTAATTTTCTTGCATTTTATTTCAAACCTACGTCCAACAGAAGTTACTCAAAGATATGGCATCTTCAATCTATCTAGAGAATGCAGTGTAAGCTGAAATAGATCTAAAATGAAACACAACACTTGCTTGTGCTTTTTTGCCTACAGTCTATTAGTACCCAAAGTTCTCTATGTATGCAAGTCCCTCTGTCATCTAGGCCAGTGCTGTCCAATGTGCTTACTATTCAGTATATGTTGTTGGGAGCAGTCATCTCAGCTTCAGGAGATCTCTGCAGGAGTTCCTCAGGGCAGTGTCCTAGCCCAACCATCTTCAGGTGCTTCATCAATGACCTTCCCTCCATCATAAGAACATAAGAACTAGGAGCGGGAGTAGGCCGTCTGGCCCTTCGAGCCTGCTCCGCCATTCAATAAGATCATGGCTGATCCTTTCGTGGACTCAGATCCACTTACCCGCGTTCTCACCGTATCCCTTAATTTCTTTATTGTTCAAAAAAAAATCTACCTTTTTTTTAAAAAACATTTACTAAAGTACCGTTAACTACTTCACTGGGCAAGGAATTCCATAGATTAACAACCCTCTGGGTGAAGAAATTCCCTCTCAGTTCAGTCCTAAATCTGCTCCCTCTAATCTTGAGGCTATGCTGTCTTGTCCTAGCTTCACCTGCCAGTGGAAACATCCTCTCTACTTCTATCTTATCTATTCCCTTCATAATTTTATATGTTTCTATAAGATCCCCCCTCAATCTTCTGAATTCCAATGAATATAATCCCAATCTACTCAGTCTCTCCTCATAAGCCAACCCCCTCAACTCCGGAATCAACCTAGTGAACCTCCTTTGCACCCCCTCCAGTGCCAGTACATCCTTTCTCAAGTAAGGAGACCAAAACTGCACACAGTACTCCAGGTGTGGCCTCACCAGCACCTTGTACAGCTGCAACATAACCTCTCTGCTTTTTATTTCAATCCCTTTAGCAATGAAGGACAAAATTCCATTTGCCTTCCTAATTACTTGTTGTACCTGCAGACCTACCTTCTGTGATTCATGCACAAGGACACCCAGGTCCCTCTGCATAGCACCATGCTGCAACTTTTTACCATTCAAGTAATAATCCTTTTTACTATTACTCCTACCAAAATGTATGACTTCACATTTATTTACATTGTATTCCATCTGCCAGACCTTTTCCCACTCACTCAATGTATCTATGTTCCTCTGCAAAGTTTCACAGTCCTCTGCACACTTTGCTTTGCCACTCATCTTAGTGTCATCTGCAAACTTTGACACCCTACACGTGGTCCCCAACTCCAAATCATCTATATAAGTTGTAAATAATTGCGGTCCCAACACCAATCACTGAGGCACACCACTAGCCACTGACTGCCAGCTAGAATAGCACTCATTTATCCCCACTCTTTGCTTCCTGTTAGTCAACCAATCCTCTATCCACGCTAATACTTTACCTTTAATGCCATGCATCCTTATCTTATGCAGTAGCCTCTTGTGCGGCACCTTGTCGAAGGCCTTTTGGAAATCTAGGTACACCACATCCACTGGGTCCCCATTGTCCACCTTGCTTGTAATGTCTTCATAGAATTCCAAAAGATTTGTCAAGCATGACCTGCCCTTCATGAACCCATGCTGCGTCTGCCCAACGGGACAATTTCTATCAAGATGCCTTGCTATTTCTTCCTTGATAATAGACTCAAGCATCTTCCTCACTGCAGAGGTTAAGCTAACCGGTCTATAATTCTCCATCTTTCGTCTACTTCCCTTTTTAAACAGTGGCGTCACATTTGCTGTTTTCCAATCTGCTGGGACTGCCCCAGAGTCCAGCGAATTTTGGAAAATTTCTGCCAGTGCATCTCTTTTAGTACCCTGGGATGCATTCCATCAGGGCCAGGAGACTTATCAATCCTTAGCTCCATTAGCTTGCCCAACACTACCTCTTCCGTAATAATGATCGTTT